GATCTAATTGGATTTGCATTGAAACATTAAATAAAAGTTAAAATAAAAGATAAATATTTTAAGTTTTTAGTTATGATACTCCAAAATTCCGCATAAATACTGCAAATTTTTATTAAATTCTCTGCAGAAATATCAAAAAATGTCAGCAGATTCTGTCTGGCCCTAGACATGAGTGCCGCCTCAAACAATGACGTGCATTGAGGTTTGTGGCTGGTGAGTCACTGACTATTAAAGTCAGATTTACATACATATCAAATCAATATATTTGCCAACTACCGATTATGTTTCATATGTCATATCAGCATTCTTTCTATACACATAGCAGGTACATTTAGGGTCAAGGAAGAAGGTAAAAGGTACAGCGATAAAATATGCCTCCCAAAACAACACTCAGCTGGATGCTATAAAGCAGGGGTGTCAAATCCAAACTTGGTAAGGGCCGCACTGAGTGTTGTGAGTAAAGTCAGGGGTCAAACATACACATTTTTTAAAAATTGTTTATTCGAGAAAATAAAAGTGTATTAACAACATCCCGGCATAGCCGGCAGCTAGCTCTCTGCAACTCTCACATGGTCGCCCACTGAAGCTAAGCAGGGCTGCGCCTGGTCAGTACCTGGATGGGAGACCACATGGGAAAGCTAGGTTGCTGCCGGAAGTGGTGTTAGTGAGGCCAGCAGGGGGCGCCCAACCTGCGGTCTGTGTGGGTCCTAATGCCCCAGTATAGTGACGGGGACGCTATACTGCTCAGTGAGCGCCGTCTTTCGGATGAGACGTTAAACCGAGGTCCCGACTCTCTGTGGTCGTTAAAAATCCCAGGATGTCCTTCGAAAAGAGTAGGGGTTTAACCCCGGCATCCTGGCCAAATCTGCCCACTGGCCTTCATCCATCATGGCCACCTAAACATCCCCATATTCAATTGGCTGCATCACTGTCTCCTCTCCACCAATCAGCTGGTGTGTGGTGTGCGGTCTGGCGCAAAATGGCTGCCGTCGCGTCATCCAGGTGGATGCTGCACACTGGTGGTGGATGAGGTGATCCCCCCCACTATGTAAAGCGCTTTGAGTGCCCAGAAAAGCGCTATATAAATGTAAGGAATTATTATTATTATTATTATTATCTCTTACACTTCATTAAACCACATTTATCAAAATAGTACGGTTTTAAATTTAATTTGTGTCACAGCAGGTTTTATCTCTATCAAAACATGAAATAAGGTCTCTAACCAATTTAAGCATAAAACAATACAGTAGGCTAGCATAGAACAGTAGTCTACTTCAAGAACAATTTCAGATTGAGAAAAAACTGATAATAAATTTCAGTCAATTTCAGTTTCTCATAATAGCAATGCGCCAACAATGCATTTTAACACACCACCTTTTCAGACCTGAACACCCACAAACTAGCACAAATGGATGTTATTTAAACATTGTGGAGCAAAACTTGAAAATTAGGGTAGTATTTGACTGAAAATAGCAATAAATAGTGCAAATTTAAAGTGGCAGTCACCAAAACAACACAATTTGTATCAAAGCCTAAAAAAGGCAGTTTCACAAATAGTTATAAAAAATGTATTTGTGGGGTATTTTGAGGTAAAACTTCACATACAGTACACTCTCTAGGGACATCAGAGACTTTCATTTCTTTGTTAAAAAAAGAGCATAATAGATCCCCTTTAATGTATGATTTTTATATATTGTATGTATTAGCATACTATTTGAAGACGGTACATTAGAAAGCTGGATCAATGTTGTAATACTAATATGAATATAGACTTGTAGACATAAAACAATCTGAATTCGACTGAAACAGTTAATTATTTTTATTTATTTATTTATTTTTTCGTTAAATCACATGCTTTGAATTTTTTTTTATATTTCCTAAGTTATGTTTAACAGAGCAAGGACATTTTCACAGTATGTCTAATAATATTTTTTCTTCTGGAGAAAGTCTTATTTGATTTTTTTCGGGTAGAATAAAAGCAGTTTTTAATTTTTTTAAAAACATTTTATGGTCAAAATTATTAGCCCCTTTAAGCATTTTTTTTTCGATAGTCTACAAAACAAACTTGCCTAATCACACTAACCTGCCTAGTTAAGCCTTTAAATGTCACTTTGAGCTGTATAGAAGTGTCTTGAAAAATATCTAGTCTAATATTATTTACTGTCATCATGGCAAAGATAAAATAAATCAGTTAGAAACGAGTTACTAAAACTATTATGCTTAAAAAATGTGTTGAAAAAAAATCTTCTTTCCGTTAAACAGAAATTGGGGAAAAAAATAAACAGGTGGGCTAATAATTCTGACTTCAACTGTACATGTCATGATTGCACACACGCCAAGTCTGAGAATTTGAAATGATGCATGCATTTAAGAATCCACATATTAATGATGAGCATTTTCAGACTTGAAAATGAAGTCATTTTCAGACTTCAAATGGACATCAAGCACGGACAGCTGCCCGTGGTACTTTTTCTAGGCGTTTGTTTGATTGAATGCATGCTGGTAAAGCAGTTTTCCTCATTAAACCACACATTGAACTAGCTGACCTGTTCTTCTCACCATGATACCATCATTGCTGTTTGTGCAAAGGAGCAGAGGAAGTGTGGCAATCAGATATCGATTTCTTCTAATATCAGTTCTAATAACGGTTTGTTTTTGGAAAAAGAAAAAAAAAGCCTGAAAAAAACAGTTTCTCACGTTTAGTTAAATGAGTCACACTATTAAAACATAGAGCAAATAATAATTAGCTTTTTTCTTCAGTGTATTGCATACATTTGAAAATAGTCAAAATAATGCCTCATTACAGGGTTATTTCTTTAACAACTTGTTTGCTTGACATGCATGGTATGTAAATTTGCGTTATTGTTTTGTAATGTTTTTACTGTATGAATGAGGTGCACTGATATAAATATTCTGCGGATACAAAGCTTTTTGAAATGTGTTATATGTGTAGCCATCAATCGATGTGTAGTAGATTAATCAATGCTGTAATTGTTTTTTAGTTGATGATACATAAAGCTTTATCTAATGCAGGGGTGTCAAACTCAATTCCTGGAGGGCCGAAGCCCTGCATAGTTTAGTTCCAACCCTGCTCCAACACACTTACCTGTAGTTTTCAAACAAGCCTGAAGGACTCAATTAGTTTGATCAGGTGTGTTTAATTAGGGTTGGAACTAAACTGTGCAGAGCTGCGGCCCTTTTGGAACTGAGTTTGACACCCGTGATCTAATGTAAGAGGGACACTTCTTCCAAAATTGACAATTTTTTCATTATTTGCCCACCTTTTACTTGTTTCAAACATGTCTTCCTTCTGCTGAACATTAAATGATGGAAACCTGTAACAGGGCTCGAAATTTCGACCATTTTGGTCACATATGCGCCCGAAATTTTATCTATGCGACCTTGAAATATATTTGGGGGCATTTCTGCGAGTGTTTAAAATTGTAGTGTGCGACCAATTTTTACTGCAAAATGTTCAGCACATGCGCGGATTCGGGAGACATTCACGCAGAATGCATCTCTAAGCTCTTTGTCTGCACTTGAAACGCCAAACGCATCGCTCAGGAACGGTTTAAAACAGTCGTCATGTCAACTTGCTGCAGTAAACAAATCCAAGTCCGTAATGCTTGCCCCGCCTTCGCGCTCTTCTTATTGGCCCACCACTGCTCTAGCACTGAATGCGAATGATTGGTTAATATCAGCTGTCAATCACGGATGACAGAGAGCTACTACCGCGAAAAATTGTAAAGCGCTGAAGATGAGAATGAAGATAACACTGACAGATTTAGTTTTAGAAACCATGGCATCTACAGTTGCAAATAATGACACATCTTACTAGTTATACCGTTAACACGTTAATTCAAGCAGATTCAAGCAGTGCGTGCAGGGCCGGTGAGCGCTCCGTGTATGCCTTGGTCACTCAGTTCTGTTATAAAAATCTATTTTCTTGTGATAACGGGATTTTGTTGAGACATATTTTCCTCACATTTGCATATAACGTTATATATGATTTTTTTTTTTTTTTGCTTGTTAGTTTAATCAGTGTTGATTTCAAATACAATCAATATGTTTGTATAACACTTGTAGTAACGGTGCTCATAATTGGTGGGTGCGACTAAATTTTGGCTGATGCGCCTAAATTTTTAAAGTTAGAAGTGCTACCAAGCGAAAAGGTTGATTTCGAGTCATGTGTAACCATAGTATTTTTTGCATATGACTGAAGTCATGGTTACAGGTTTTCAGCTTTCTTCACAATATCTTATTTTGTGTTTAACTGAATTAACCAGTTAAACTCCGCGAACCCGGTACCGGGTCCATGACGTCATCAACTTTCGCTTGAAGATTTAAAGCGCTAGCATTGCACCAGACCCCCGTCAGTGGTTTCGTTTGAAAGTGTAGAATTTATATTTCATGCACATATGCATCACTTTGGTTTTTATTCTACTGTATAAAAGTTATTTACACTTAAATACACAGTATTTTGGATACCCGAGCTGAGTATTTTACATTGGCTTATTTTCATATTTTTCATATGACACATGTACAATTTATACCCATAATGGGGTAAGCAAAATATTCTTGTTTTTCGATTTGTGTTAAGATTATCTTGTTTACCCCATTGGCAGAATATTTAGCTTGATTTAAAGTAAAACTCACTTCATTTTGGCGTATTATTTCTTAAAACAAGACAATATGTTTTGCTTGTCTAGAAAATGCTTCTTGATTTAAGAATTTGTAGATATTTGGACTTGAAACAACACAAAAAATCTAAGCCAGAAAAGCATTTTGTGCAGTGTATCTGCAGAAACCCTGTCTAAAGTCTTAATTCATACAAAAGTTTGTTATGATTGTCTCTCTAAAGTACTTCATATGATTAAATAACAATATTTTGCATAAGTTTAGTCATCACAACACAAAATTATAGTACATTTTTGATTATTGGTTTGAAAGAGATCATATATCCCTGTACAATATATATTTATGATTTTGTTTTTTTACAGAACAATAATGAGGTTTCACAGCATGAAGATGGAGGAGATTAATAAAATCATCAGAGATTTGTGGCGGAGCACATACAGAGGACAAGGTCTGTCTTCGTTTTTAAACGATATGTTGAAAGAATGTATCGGTAACACTTTACAACAAGGTTCATTAGTTAATGCATTTACTAACATGAACTAATCATGAACAACACTTGTACAGCATTTATTAATCTTAATTGAACATTTATGCATTATTAACATCCAAACTCATGCTTGTTAACATTAGGTAATGCACCATGAGTTAACATGAACTAACAATGAACAACTGTATTTTCATTAACTAACGTTAACTAACATGAACAAATACTGTAGTAAATGTATTGTTCATTGTTTGTTCATGTTTGTAAATGCATTAATTAACATTAACTAATGAACCTTATTGTAAAGTGTGACCCATGAATTTACATGGGATTTAACAAATTAATGATATATCTCAGGTTGATTCATTCCTTAAACACAATGAGAGAATAAACATTATAATTGCTGTAGTTGTTGAATTGTTTGACATGGCCTTTTGGCATAAATGTTTATAGAGTGTGTCTTCTGATCTTCCACAGACATCGAGTATGTAGAGATTCGCTCTGATGTGGATGAGAATGCATCTGCTGGTGTGAAGAGAAGGACCTATAACTATAGAGTGGTAATGGTGAAAGGAGACGCAGCCTTGGACATGCGGGGTCGATGCAGTGCTGGACAAAAGGTCAAAAAGCAACTACATGCATCTTCCATTGAGAATTGTTTTAGAATTATAGATGGGCATAGATCATTTTTTTTATTCTATATTAATTGGTAATGTAATGTAATGTAATGTGTATTTATATAGCGCATTTATTGTGTATGGCCATACACCCAAAGCGCTTCACAATCATGAGGGGGGTCTCTCCACACTACCACCAGTGTGCAGCATCCACTTGGATGATGCGACGGCAGCCACAGGACAACGGCGCCAGTGCGCTCACCACACACCAGCTATAGGTGGAGTGGAGAGACAGTGATCGAGCCAATTCGGTGGAAGGGGATGGTTGGGAGGCCATGATCGTAAGGGCCGATAGAGGGACTTTGGCCAGGACACCGGGGTTACACCCCTGCTCTTTCACGAGAAGTGCCATGGGATTTTTAATGACCGCAGAGAGTCAGGACCTCGGTTTAACGTCTCATCCGAAAGACGGCGCCCACTGACAGTGTAGTGTCCCCTTCACTATACTGGGGCATTAGGACTCACACAGACCACAGGTTAAGCGCCCCCTGCTGGCCTCACTAACACCACTTCCAACAGCAACCTAGTGTTCCCTAGTGGTCTCCCATCCAGGTACTGACCAGGCTCAGCCCTGCTTAGCTTCAGTGAGTAACCGGTCTTGGGCTGCAGGGTGATATGGCTGTGGGTAACGCTTTATATTAACTACACACTATGAATCATTTACTAAGCATTAGCATCTAGTGAATTCATTATCTGATAAGCATTAACTCTACATTAATAAATGTTAGTAAGCAGTTTATAACTGCAGCTACAAATGCTCTATTCTTGACTTATAAGCACCTAAATAATTTGTTTAATAATTGTATTTTCATTCTTAGTCAGTGATTTATATTTCGTTACTAAATTAAGTATTGCATTATTTACAAACCAGTTGTATTTAAGAGTAGTTGAGGGTTTTTAGGATAACTTAAAATGAGTTAGTAAATTATTAATAAGCTATTCAAATCAATGTTTATATATCTCATTATTCAGGCATATACTAATAGTTAACTAATGTGTTAATAAATGCTTTATTAACTCAACTTTGTGCAGTTTTGTGACCTAATCTAAAGTGAGGACTATTTTTGCTTTATAAATCCCTTATAAATGACTATTAAAGGCTCAGAATCAAGTGAACAGTAATCCTTGCAAACTTTTCTAAAAAAGTAAAATTACCGTAAAGTTTAAACATTGCTGAATAACAGGAGTGTCAAAATACGACATGAAACTGGATTAAACAACAACAACAATATAATAATTTAACAATATAATAAGATTCAATTTTTAAACTGTACAGTGATTTTATTTTAGATAAAGTTGCAAAGATTAATTTTTCATTAATACAGAAATACAGTTTCATTTGTGTATCTTTAAATGAATATGAATGAATAAAGTCATTTTTTTTTTCCTGTTTAGAATTTAACTGAGCCTTTATTTGTCATTTATAAGTGGTTTATAAAGCATAAATAGTCCTCACTTAAGATTAGGTTACAAAACTAGATGAAGTTGAGTTAATAATGCATTTATTAATATACATGGTAACCACTAGAATATGCCTGAATAATAAGACATATAAATGTTGATTTCAATAGTTTATTAATCATTTACTAACTCATTCTGAGTGATCCTAAAAACCCTCAACTACTCCTAAATACAAATGGTTTGTAAATAATGCAATGCTTAATTTAGTAATGAAAAATAAATCATTAACTAAGTATGAAAGTATAATTATTAAACACATTATACAGGTGCTTATAAGTCAAGAATAGAGAATTTGTAGCTGCATTTATAAACTGCTTACTTGCGTTGTTAATGTAGAGTTAATGCTTAACAGATGATAAATTCACTATTAGCTAATGCTTAATAAATGATTTACAGTGTGTAGTTATTATAAAGTGTTACCGAATATGTGCGCTACCCAAATAATGACTAAAAGTAAGTCTTTGAAAACGGGTTTCTCAAGCCAGGTGGCGCATTAGACCAGGGGCTCATCTCCTGTTTCCAAAATGCATCACAAACTGCTTGAGAAACTGTTCTACTGTGATAATTGGTGATAAAATAAATGATGTTCAATAAGATGTACTTGTGTTTACTCTCTGTTTATTCAGTTAAACATGAATTTTGAACTGCAGGCCTACATAAGCTCCAAACAGCGATTTTTGATCACCTTAATCCGACTAAGGTCATAACTGAACTAAACAGAAATGGAATTAAGACATGTGGACTATGCTTATAGTAGTGGCATTATTAAAGTAAACACAGCAATCAAACTATTACCATCATGTAGGACTTTTCGCCATATTTTTTGACAAGATCCACACACGTGACTGTCAGTAAAGGACCGCACACACACACACACACATAGCGAACTGCGGAAGTTTTTTTCTTTCCATTCAGTGTGCGTTATTAAATCAATAACACTCTCACTAGTCCTTACTCCTTATTTGCACATTCAAGTTTGTCACAGGGGCATGAATGAAATGTTCACAAGTAAAACTGCCGAACTGCAGTTAAAGTTACAAAATTAAAGGAAACTCTTCCATGAAAGCACTCCACGTAAACACCTTAATTATATTATTGTCTATAAAGGCAAATAACTCGATTTAAAGATGTCCATGTAAACGTAGTCAGCAGTTTCTTTGAAGTAATTGAAAGATCCAGAAGGGCATCCTGCTGATTTAAATCAGAAGGGCACTTTTTTGTCAGTTGGCTCACCGGTCAGGTATACATCTGCGCTAAAATATCAAGGTGAAAGTCATCACAGTTTGCGTAGAACAGACCCAGCACACAACCCAACCTTGAGAATTGATTAACGTTGATTTTTTTTTATTTTTTATTTTTTATGTTCGTTAAGAGCCTTACGTTAACGCCGATAATGGCCCACCACTATTTAGAATATTTCCATTAAACGTGATGTAGACAATTGCTTCTATTTAATTTACAGTACCAAACACGTACTTACAAATTTTGCACATTTTTGTCATTCTGACAATACTTTCCTGCACGTTTGTTTGTAGGTTCTCGCCTCTCTTATAATCCGATTGGCTCTAGCTGAGACATTCTGCCTGAACTGTGGGATTCTGGCACTGGATGAGCCCACTACCAACTTAGACAGGGAGAATATAGAGTCTTTGGCACATGCACTTGTGGAGTAAGTCTTTATTAAAAACACCCACACACAATTATACAGTCACAATAATTAAAACATAAATACAGCCAGTTATTAAGTAGAAAGATAGAGATAAAGCTAGAAGTTTCATTCACTGTTTGTTTTTACAGAATTATCAAAAGTCGCTCTCGTCAGCGCAACTTCCAGCTGCTTGTCATCACTCATGACGAGGATTTCGTGGAGCTCCTGGGAAGATCCAACTATGTGGAGCATTTCTACAGGATCAGGAAGAACCAGGATCAGTGCTCAGAGATCAGCAAATGCAGTATCAACAGCCTCAACTCCTACCTGCACTGATGTCAGATCAGATGAGAGAGGAAAGAGATGTTTTCAGAGGTGACATGTTCAAAGTTCAGTTAGCACAGGTGCACAGCTGTCTTGTACTTTAAAAAAAAAATCGTAAGCAACCAGTCAGTGCGTTTTTTTTGCATCACACCTTGTTCAGGAAACATGAGCAGAACTAATGTCTTTGTAAATCGTCCACAATAACATGCTCATGTAAAAGTGTTGTATTTAATTCAGGTCAACAAGTAATGTGAAAATGGTTTAAACAATTTACGTAGGAATTTGTTTTATGGATTAGGTACATGATTTAACGTAATTCTAATTCTGAACTATTGCCTGTTTCTGAACTATATATACGATTGATCATATATATATATATATATATATATATATATATATATATATATATATATATATATATATATATAAAAGCCTGTCTCTAATTATTTCCGAATTCATTCTTATTGCAGTTTGCGTTTGTGCTCACTCTTTATGACCTTGAATATTGGCATAAACTATTTCATGAATTTGACTCTGAATTTTGTCTCTAATAGTTTGATTTATTTTATCTGTATATTTTATAATGTATATATACAGGTATTGGTTCGTTTGACGTCAGAGTACTGTACGGTTAGCTAACATGTCTTCTGAACTCGGGTACGCACCCACGAACTGTACCCGAGTCTGCCTAAAAGAGCTAGTCTGTGGTACGGTTCACGCGAACTCTGGTCCAGTTCACTTCTGGTATGATTGCAATTGTTCCAAATAACGGAAGCGAACCACAAACAGTACAACAAACTATCATTTATACAGGTATTAATTCGTTTGACATCAGAGTATGGTACGTTTAGCTAACATGTCTTCTGTACTCTGGTACGCACCCACGAACTGTACCCGAGTCTGCCTGAAAGAGCTGGTCTGGGGTACGGTTTATGCGAACTCTGGTCCAGTTCACTTCTGGTATGATTGCTATTGTACCAAATAACGGAAGCGAACCACAAACAGTACAACAAACTATCATTTTTATAACGTTCATTCATGTGTGTGTCTGTGTATTTCAAACTGTACCTTGGTGACAAGCAAGATTGAGCCAGGGCAATCACAGTGATAATGTCTGCTTGTCTCCATCAAAAACAGCTTCTGCAGACATCGCGTGATGCTCTAAACGTTTATAATACGAGTCGCTTGTTGTATGTCCAAAACCAAAAGATTTAGTAAAAACAGAACGGCCGCGATGTATGTACGTCTTTCCATCTTAGTGCTTTGCTTTTTTGTCCATCACCTAGCAAAGGCCGTACACACAACAGCAACTCGATGGCGCAAGCGTACCGGGGTTCAGAAGGAAAAAAGACAGTGTGAACACAAACCAACCGAGAAGGTGGCAAGGGGGACAATCGAACGGTCCAGGCAACTGAACCAAGTGTGAAAGCACACTTAGAGATGTTGCCAGAGTTGTCCAGGATTGAGTTTGTCTCAGTTTATTCTGTTTATTCATGTCATTCCGGATAGACAGGATAATGAAATGATTACCCCCCACCCCCTTTATTTTTATTTTTATTCTTTATTTTTAAGAAGCACAGATTTTTTTTACTTATTTCCTTATTTCCTATGATTTTTTCATTTACGCTAGAATAAAAGCACTTTTTAAAAAAAAAACATTTTAGGATTAAACCATTTTTGCCTAATTACCATAATTTTCCTAATTAATAATTAATGTAAGCTGAATAATAGTATCTTGGGCTGCTTGGTGGAGCAGTGGGTAGCAAGTTCACCTAAAACCAAGAAGGTTCGAGTCTCAGCTGGGTCAGTTGGCGTTTATGTGTGGAGTTTGCATGTTCCGTGTTCACGTGCATTTCCTCCGGGTGCTCCTGTTTCCCCCACAGTCCAAAGACAAGTGATATTGGTGAATTGGGTAGGCTAAATTATAGTGTATATAAGTGAATGAGTGTGTTTGGATGTTTCCCAGTGATGGGTTGCAGCTGGAAGGGCATCCGCTGCATAAAACATATGTTGGACAAGTTAGCGGTTCATTCCTCTGTGGTAACAACAGATTAATGAAGGGACTAAGCTAAAAAAAATAGAAAATAAATGAACTAGTATCTTAAAAATATCTAGTAAAGTATGTCACAATGGAAAAGATATAAGAAATATATTTTTTTTAATAAGTGATTAAAACTATTATGTTTAGAAATGTGTTGAAAAGATTGGGGAAAATATACAGGGAACAAATGATTTGCGGTACTGTAGCGATCAATGGTTAAGAAGAACATATGTTTTTTTCCATCACCTGACCCACAGTTCTCTGAAGACCAGCCGGATCTTCTCTCTGTGAATAAGAATGGAACATTAAAATAAGCTTACAATAACCTCCGTGTAAAGTCCTTGCGACTAATTTGTTGTGTATATGTAATTATTGAATGTTTGTCTCTGGTCAGTTTATTGCAGATAGTAATCTTGCAATCGGTTATCTGTGGCTGCTATCAACCTCATGCCTGGTTTCTCCATAAGATTGCTTACAGCACATTCACTTTGATTTGTGATTGCCCAATCACACTGTTTCAGTCCATTGCCTGAATTCATTCCTTATTTATTTGTTTTCGTCAGTAATGTTCTCAAGTTGGTCATAGATTTTACATGTTAATCTTAATCTCAGATTATTCAGATGACCATTTATAGCAGAGTGAACTCCTCTTGGATGACTTTGATTTTGTTAAAATAGTTTTACCTACTTTTGTTATTTATTGTCTGACCAATCTTACAATACATTATAAACAGGGTTCACACGGTCATGGAAAACCTGGAAAGGTCTAACATATATAGTTTTGAGGCCTGGAAAAGTTTTGGAAAAACAGAAAAACCCACAAAGTTTTGGAAAAGTCATGAAAATTTGTATCTACACTTGAATTAGGGCTGCGCTATATTGGAAAAAATCTGACATTACCATATTTTGTATCTTTGTGATATATATTGCAATGTTAATATAATTTCACCAGGTGATTTAACAGGTTTATTTGGATTTATTTGGGGGGGTTGTAGAGAGTAAATCTCGAATAATATATAACAAATAAATTACAACCAGAGATAAAAGTGAATTCTAGTTTTCAGGTATTCACTATTCGGGTACAGAGATTGAGTAATCAACACTGCATAGTCTTCATTGTGTATTATCTAATCTTTATTAAAGCTACAAAATATTCTTGTGTCCGGATGTTTTAAAATGTAAAATACTGAAACGTTCACACAGTCACAGGCCTTAAAGGGACAGTTCACTCAAACATTAAAATGTACTCCCTATTTACTCACACTTCACTTGTTTCAATACTGTAGGAGTTATTAAATTATTTTCTTTGGGTTCATAAAAAAAAAAAAAAAAAACTCATGGATGTTTTACACAAGTAAAGGGTGTATTGAAAATGGTAAGTCAATTTTGGGTTAACTATCTCTTTAAAAATACATGCAGATGATAAACTTTTACTCCATTATGATTAAACTCAATATTAAACTATTATCTCAACATTGCAAATCCTGGGATGTGACTATTGCGGATGCACACATTGCAATATCGATGCTGAAACGATATATTGTGCAGCCTTAAGATGAATATAGGTTAGTTGTCTTTACTTCGTTTCTGTCCTTGGCCAAAAACTTGCTCTCACATTGTTATTGCTGTGTAAGCATGATCAAAATCAATTTTACATGGATATAAAAACAAATTAAAGCTAAATAGATCGTTGCGTGTTTTATGAAATTTAAAAGTCATTCTTTTTCTTATTATTTATCATTTAGACATTACATGAAACATTACGTCATGAAAATGTACTTGAAAGTTCTGGAAAAGTCATCGAATTTTAGTAGTTAAAATGTGTATGAACCCAGATAAAAGTAAGTCGCTCACTAATAAAATGTAATAAATTAATGAATTTGAGGACAGATCATGTACTGTAATAGTACTGATTTTAAAAAAAAGCAATAATAAAAATAAACAATCTGGTGTGATATGAAAGCTGCATTTCTTAAGGAAGTTTTCAAACATTTATTAAAAGTGTATCAAATGGCAAATTTTACAAAGCATTTCATCCCTTGCCTAATTTGGATATTTGAAGTTTGTGAACTGTAAGATACTGCAGATTTTTATCTCAGTATGATGACTAATTGGTGGGGTTTTATTTTTGTGGGTTTTTTTTTTTTTTTTTTAAGGAGACGTGACGCCAACGTTCAGCCCTAAACCCATCTGGTATTGGAAGATGAGCAAAATTTGTACAAAATTGTATGATGAAATTGTAAATAGGGCTGGGCGATTTGGCCTTAAACAATTTAACTCGATTACAATTAATTCACAATTATTTTATTTATGTTTTTGCCCTCATAGTTCAATGACAGGTTTTGTACAGTAAATATGCTCACATATTACAAGTGAGAGATTTCTAAATTAAGGGTGCATTACTTGCTTTTAAATTAATTGAAGTAAACACACACACTGTTTACTATGTATGATTATTTATTGAACATCAATGCTGAACAACTGAAATTAAAACACGCATTGCCTAAAACGCAGCTTTCTGCGCTGCCCACGATCTTTACCCGCTACCAAACCGACCAATCACAAAGCTTGCACTATGTGTCGCTGTGACGTGTAAGTTTTTTTGAGAGGTGCTCGGGTATGTGAAGGCTGCGCTGGACTGTGCACGTGCCCTTGGCAGAAGTATAATAATGTAATAAATCATAATACAGGTATAATTCAACCTTAACAGAGCAGGGTCACATGACTCCACACACGGTAGGGAAAGTAATTGAAAAAATTGATCTGAAAAAATTAGATCGATGATAGATTCTGAACAGGCCCGGATTGGCTAATCGGGTGGACCGGGAGAATTCCCAGTGGGCCGGTCCATTTTTTGGCCGTGGGGGCCGTTGTCCCTAGCTGCTTGCAATCTCAGCAGTTGCACTTTTTTTAGTTATTTATTTATTTGACCATAGCCTCACTCTTTTTATTCATTATTTTCTTGTGGCCCTGTGAGGAAATAAAACAGCTGCAGGTTAATGATGATGTAACTATCATTCCACCCCAAACAGCGGCACATAGTGAATAAAATAATCAGATTAAATAATATTAATGAATATTAAACCTGCTCAATAAAAATTAGATGATTCACTACATTAATAAATCTGACAAAGTAGAGTAAAACTATTTATTGGTAATTAAATATTTAGATATTGCCTAATCAGACAGTTGATACAGTACAAGACTTCAGTGCAATACTCCACCGTGCTTTTAATTTGATTCTTCTTATTGTTCTGGGCCATACATGTTCATGGACTATACAGGCAGGCCTGTCAAGAAAATTCTTGAATATTCAATAACAGTACTTCTGTGGCTATATGCTGTACAGCCCAACAGTCAACTCTATCTAATGAAATGAGTGTAGTTAACTGAAAGTTAATTTACTCATTTGAAAAGAGTTTGGACCTCAGTGTTAAAGGTAATGAGTTCATTAAATACCTCATCACTTCAACTTAAATGGATTAAGTTCACAGTACTCATTAGGATTAGTTTTTTTAACTCAAATAATTTGATGCAATCGGTTTCCTCAAATGGTTTGAGTTGACTTAACTTATTGGGTTTTCCAGTATTCAGTTGGTTTGAGTTTTCTCCGTTTATTGGGTTTTACTGTGCTAAAATTGCTTTGTTTACTCAAATGGAGTAAGTTCACAGTACTCATTAGGATTAGTTTTTGAACTTAAATGGTTTGTGGCAATCGGTTTCCTCAAACGGTTTGAGTTACCTTAACTTATTGGGTTTTACAGTGTATTTAACGTAGCAGCATGACTTTTGTGATGTAGTGCCATCCAGATTCTCAAGTTGGGCACATTGAGCTGAGGCTGAGAAATCATTTTTGAAAGTATTTGACGATTCTCTCATGTCTTGTGGTAAAAAAAAAAAAACAAGGTCATGAGTCATGATCCCAATTTTCTTTCTTTTATGCCCACACTGTAAAACTTTAAAAAAAATCAACTTTATCAAATAAAATGAGTGTAGTTAACTCAAAAATTGACTTAAAGTTAGTTTACTCCTTTGAACAGTTTTGAACTCAGTGTTGAAGGCAATGGGTTAATTAAATACCTCATTATCTCAACTTAAATGGAGTAAGTTCACAGAACTCATATAGGTTTGTTTTGTTAACTCAAATGGTTCGAGTTGTCTTAACTTATTGGGTTTTCCAGTACTCCATTAGTTTGAGTTCTCTTCATTTATTGGCTTTTACTGTGCTCAAATTGCTTTGTTTACTCAAATGGATTAAGTTCACAGTACTCATTACAATGAAATAAAGTGTTGCATGCAGAACTGTTGCAAAAAAATGTATTTGTGTTGAATTTAAACAAACAAATTAAGTTTAATAATGTTCAACTTAATTTGTTTGTTTAAATTCAGCCCAAATAAAATGTTTGCAACCACTTAACGTAAAATTAGTATTTGAACTTAAATGATTTGTTGCGATCGGTTTCCTCAAACGGTTTGAGTTACCTTAACTTTTTGGGTTTTACAGTGCACATGAAACCCTCAATTATTCATCTTATTATTTTAAGACAGTTTAATTCTTATAAAGTTATTCTATAACCTTTACACATTTTTAACCTCTGGCCTAACTATTTAGAGTGTTTTATGTCAAAATAAAAATAAAATAAACCTTAATTTTTTAAGTGCATTGATATTTGTGTGTATATTTACTAGATCTGTAAATCTTTTGTCAAATAAATGTAAAAGTTAATGAGATTTTTTAAAAATTCAGGTTAGAATTTGTGTATCAAATTATTAAGCTGTGGGTGTTTAGTTGTTATTTGTTCGTTCTTTCTTTTATTTGATCATTTCTTTCATTTTGCATGGAACCTTCCATAGTCATTATGTATTGTCTCTAAAAATATTCTGCAAATTTTTACTCCTCTTATAATAAGATTTCAAATGTTCGTCATTGGACCTTTGATGCCGTCGTTTGTATGACTGATTAAACCACAATATATCAGCATCAGCTGTAGGCACCAAGCAACTTCATTTATGAACACACAGATTTGCAGCAAAAGCTATCAGTTTTGATCATATTGCAATAATGAAACTTATTTGCACGAGCAAACAGTCGAGATGCAGCCTTCAACCCCAATCTAGCCAAAATCATTATGATTTTCAGGGCAGACAGTGTCACTTCTAGGAAATTAGGACTGTTGTTATCAACCGACCACATCTCAATCAAGATATTCTGTGAGCGAGCAGTAATAAGCGGCGCTTAGCTTACAATGCAAAAAGGATGTTTCATAGCGAGGGCCTGCCTTTTGGAGAGCGTATATATACACAGCATGCAGCTGAGAGAGGATCAGGTATACCTCTGGCCTTCAGACCACTAATCTTTTGAGAAATCCAAGCAAACAGACAAAATGATGAAGACACTTCTGCTGCTCGCCTGCACTGTATTCGTCTCGGGTTTTACGTTGAAAGGCACGGATGCAATGCATAAGACTGTATTAAAGGAGCTTGTTACTGAACTGGAAGCTGTGTTAGTCAATCCCCCAAAAGAGACAAAGGTAAGGACTCTCTTTAATACAGTTCAAACTGTCTGTGTAAAAGAGCAGAATGTGATCATATAAATGTTATTTCTAGGCAAAAGAAGAAATCTTCCTTGTAGATCTGGGGAAAAAAGGAAGTGGCCTGAAGTGTGAGGTGAGATGATGATTTTTATACTAAAACAGACATACAAGTGTACAGCATATTTTGATAATGTTTCACATTTATGTGTCATTAATTAATATTAGTTATTGTATGTTACTTCCATTAATGCATTACTGAAATCCAAATCCTTGTTAACATTAGTGCACTGCCAGTTAACTTGAGCTAACTTGATTTCCTCTTGTTAATAATCAAAAATAATAAAATTATTAGAATTATTTCTATAGGATTATAACTTCTATTAGATAACATTAACTAATACAATTCTTTTGTAGAGTGTTAGTTATTTACAGTTGAATTATTAGCCCTCCTTTGGTTTTTTGATTTTTTAAATATTTCCCAAATGATGTTTATCAGAGCAAGGAAGTTTTCACAATATGTCTGATAATATTTTTCTTCTGGAGAAAGCCTTATTTTTTTATTTTGGCTAGAATAAATGCAGTTTTACATTTTTTTATGAACCATTTAAAGGTCAAAATTTATCACCCCTTTAAGCTATTTTTTTCACTGTACTATTTGTACTATCATCATGACAAAGATAAAATAAATCAGTTATTAGAATTGAGTTATTACAACTATTATGTTTAGAAATTTGTTTAAAAAGTCTCTGTTAAACAGAAATTAGGGAAAAAATAAACGGGGGCTAATAATTCTGACTTCAACTGTATCTGTTCAATCTTTACGTTTTGCACATGCACTTGTTACTCTCCTACACTCTCAGAAATAAAGGTACGCAGGCTGTCACTGGGGTGGTACTTGAATGGTACTTGAATGGTCCTTATTGGTACTTGAATGGTCCTTATTGGTACCTAAAAATTTTAGGAGAAACACTTTTGTACTTTTTAGGTACTAATAATATGTACCCTTTAGGTATTAATATGGACCTTTATAATTTGGACAACCCATTGACAGATCGCGGACCTTTATTTTTAAGAGTGTATGTGAAGCTTAAACAGTATACAGTAGTTAAGTGGTTCAAAAATGTTTTAAAAACTGTCTTAAGACAAGAACAGGTGGTGAATAGTTTTAAGACAACGTTGATGAAAGGTTAGATATACTTCAAATGTTGATCATTTTTCATTTATCATTTTTCCACCTCATTTTTAAACAATAGTTTTAATATCAAGTTTTTTTTTTCTCTTCCATGATGACAGTACATATTGTACTAGTTATTTTGCAAGATACTAGCATTTAGCTACAAAGTACAATTTCTTAACTTTACTAGGTTATAAAGTTAACTAGGCGAGTTATTGGGCAACAATCGTTTGTTTTGTAGACATTCTGAAAAAAAAAAAAATCTGTAATAATATTAATATTGACCTTAAATTAAACATAAAAAATAGTAACTCATTTTATTTCAGTCAAGCATTAAATATATATATATATATATATATATATATATATATATATATATATATATATATATATATGTGTGTGTGTGTGTGTGTGTTTATATATATATATATATATATATATAATTCAACTTTGTTGAATTTAAGTTGCAACTAATTCTCATTAGATTATAAGTAGACTGTTAGGTTGAGGTTAGGGTTAGTGTAAGTTGACATGTACATGCAAAGTTTCTTATAGTCAGTTAAATGTTTGTTGAAGGAGCATGTCAAAGATATTAAGCAGACAGTCTACAAATACTCAAATGGACCATCAAAATAAAGTGTTACCAATATTTGTCCAAGAAGAAATTATTTTATAGGAAAAACTTTGAAAATTCCCTTGCTCTGTTAAACATGTCTTGGAGAAAAATAATAAGACTATTTTAACTGTATATAACCTTTTTTTTATTTTATATAGCTTTTTAATATCGTGTGATATTTTAATCCTGATTCAATTCCAAGGATTTCAGTCAACCTGTGATTTCGATGTCTTTGCAGCATGATTATTTCTGTCAGGCTGAGGAGGAGATGGTGAAAAAGGTTTCTGGCCTGTCCGGTGTCAAATTTGACCCTTTCCGTACCGACAAGAAACTAATGAGGAATTTAAACACTTACAACCACCAAGACGAGGTAAGCTGAACTCTGAAACATGTCGTCTTCATACAATGCCTTCATCCATCCTGTGGTGAATAACCATGAGGTTTACTGTGTTTCAGAAAAACTGCAAAAAAGAGATCAGGAGTCACGCTGCTGATGAAGACCTAGAAGAAATCACTCTGGATGTTTTCTTGAAAGATCTCTTGAAGTGTGTCAAGAATATAAATAGCCAAAAAAGCCCAAGACCAAGTTAATTTATGAAGGATCAATATTTATTTTTGCCTTTATCTTAAAATGTTCTACCTGAAGACAATTTGAAAGATATCTATATATTGTATTCTTAAATATTGTCTGCTATTTTTTAACTTATATTTTTGGCCTTTCATGCCTTTATTTGTGAAAAGAAATCAAGGACAGAAAGACAAGCATGCAGTGGTTATGATGTGTGTAAGTGTTAAGGCTATCTCTGCCATAAGGTCTGGTGGTTTTGTGTTTTTTTAATGGTTTTTATTATTGTTATTATTTTGTGAACTACAGATTTTCTGTGAGAACCTTTATTTGTGATCTGTTACTTGCTGTAAGCCAAATAAATTCAGAGCATTACAAAGGACTATGATTTTCGGAGAATATTTCGGAGAATTTTCCAACACATTGTTAAACATAATAGTTTTAATAATTAAGGTCTAATAACAAATTTATTTGATCATTGCTGTGATGACAGTACATAACATTTGGTCACACTTTAAATTAACTGTCGCTTATACCTGTGAACTTACACGGTAACTAGATGTGTAAGTAGTATGTAACTACAGTGTATGTACACACTGGTACATAGTATTTACTTGTGTAATACTCGTGTGACTACACACATGTAACAACACACTGAATAGTATGTGTGAGTTCAAATGTGTAACGACATTAATAACACAATCTTTGGTAAACTCCCCCTTTAATGTGAATTACTGATGTGATTCTACAATATACTTTAAAACAACATATAAGCATAAGGCATTTGAATATTTCCATATACACTTTTTTGGTAGAAGTTTACTGTTGTTAAACTGTTGCACAGAGGCTTAGGTTTTATATATTGCACAGTAATTTGTGACCATTTTACACTTTATATTGATTGGACAGTTCCTGAGGATTAACCCTGTAATTACACTGGTATCACTAGGTGAAACCTTCTAATGCAGCATTAGTTCTGCTGTTCTTATTCTAATACAGTGTTCAGAAGTACATGGTATGCAAACACATGTGAAAGCAGGAAAACACCTGCAAGTATATTGTTGTTACACGATGCACTTATGTAATTCTTGTTGCAGATGTGTTCTTTCTTAGTGTCCTAGTTACCAAAGTCCTGTTTCACGTTTGAACTTACTATTCAGTGTGTTTTTACATGTGAGTAGTTACACCAGTGTTTCACAAGTAAATGCTATGTCTGAGTGTATACATACACTGTAGTTACAAACTGCTTGTACATCTAGTTACCATGTAAGTTTTGGGATTTAAGTAGTGTATAACTATTGTTAGTTCTGTCGGCAGTCTTGTTGTTTTATTTCAGCTAGAATAAAAGCAATTAAAACATATTTTAAAAGCCATTTTGTGGACAAAATTATTAGCCCCTTTAAGCTATATATTTTCCCAATAGTCTACAGAACAAACCATCATTATACAATAACTTGCCTAATTACCCTAACCTGCATAGTTACCCTCATTAACCTAGTTAAGCCATTAAATGTCACTTTAAGCTGTATAGAAGTGTCTTGAAAATATCTAGTAAAATATTATTTACTGTCATCATGTCAAAGATAAAATAAATCAGTTATTAGAAATGAGTTAATAAAACTATTATGTTTAGAAATGTGCTGTAAAAATCTTTTCTCCGTTAATCAGAAATTGTTTTTTTGCCTAAGCGGGCTAATAATATTTACCTTAAATGGTTTTAAAAATAAAATAACTGCTTTTATTCTAGCTGAAATAAAACAAATGAGACTTTCTCCAGAAGAAAAATATATAGGAAATAGTGTGAAACATTCCTTGCTCTGTTAAACATAATTTGTGATATATTATATATATATTGGTTATTACATTTGACCTTAACTCTATTAAACAACTATACAGTTGAATTCAGAATTATTAGCCCCATTTGAATTTTATATATATATATAATAAATATTATATATATATATATATATATATATGTATATATATTTACAAATGATGTTTAACAGAGCAAGGAAATTTTCACAGATTGTCTGATTACATAAGTTCAAAGTACTCATATAGATTAGTTTTTAACTTAAATTGTTTGTTGAAATTGGTTTCCTCAAACAGTTTGAGTTTTCTTAACTTATTGGGTTTTACAGTTCTCAGTAGGATTGAGTTCTCTTCCTTTATTGCGTTTTACTGTGCTCAAATTGCTTTGTTTACTCAAATGGAGTAAGTGCACGGTACTCATTGGGATTCATTTTTGAACTTAAATGGTTTGTTGCAATCAGTTTCCTCAAATGGTTTGAGTTACCTTAACTTTTTGGGTTAACTGTAAAAGGAATAGTTCGACCAAAAATGGAAATTGACACCCTCAAGTGATTTCAAACCTTAAAGAGTTTCTTTTTTTTCTGTTGAACACAAAATTATTTATTTTAAAGAGTGTTAAAAACCTGCCATTGACCTCCTATGAAAAATTAAAACAATGGAAGTAATGGTTACAGGTTTTTAGCATATTTAAAAATATCTTCTTTTGCATTCAACAGAAGAAAGAAACTCAAACAGGTTTGTGACGCAAGAAAGAGTTGCTGAACTTTCTTATCAAATACAAAAGCATGTTGGATAACAATTTAATGAAAATTGTTGATCTACTGCTGTTAAATATGTGCAATCTTTGCTTTCTCAAGTGTGTAGCAATGAGGTGTAGACCAGTGCCCCATAGTGGGAGCTCACGAGAACATGTGGAGTGACATAAGCAAGCTGCATGAGTGCATGTATTATTCAAAGGCAATTCAAGAGCCAAGTGTGCACACGTCCCACAATCCGGCACACTTTAAAAGGGGCGCGAATGATCAGATACCCGTCCCTATCAGCCACAGGGTCAACTCCATTACAGTTTTGTGGTGTCACATAGCCTGGACTTGCTCTTCTGGGTTTTAAAAAAAAATCTAGAAATTTTGCATGTTAAAGGGATAGTTCACCTAAAAATAACAAATAACACACCTTTAAGTGTTTACAAACCTTTGAGCTTTGAAGAAAGCTGAAAACTTGTAACCTTTGACATTCATAGCAGGAAAACAAATATGGAACTAGATGGTTACAGGTTTCCAGTTTTCTCCCAGCTAGTTTCATGTCATAAAGAAACTTATAAAGGTTTGTAACAATGGAAAGAAATCAAAATTAGGACTTTTTTTTAAAGTAGACCTACTATTCCTTTAATTCAAGAACGCATTTAGTGCTGCATGTACAGTAGAATTAAAGCCATAACCATTCTCTCAATGGCCAATTACTAGACAGCTGCTTAACACAAGTGTATAGCCTACCACTTTATTGGAATTTTGATTGTTGAAAATTATGATTGTTTATGAAATAATTCCCTACATACTTCAGCATTTCATGTAGATTAAAATGTTTAGCTTTTTTTACACTAAATATATTTTTCACAGCTGTGTCCTGAGTTTGTCAGCCAGTCAATACTCAAAATGCCATGTTTTAAGTTCAGTGGAAACACGATAACGGGCTCAAGTGAATATATTTATAATAAAGTAAAAATATTCATATTAAAAATATTGCCAACCTATTTTTGAACTAAAATATTTTTTATAATGTCATTCAGTTGAAGTATGTCCTATTTACTTTTTGCCATAATACGAGTTCGAAATTGTACGATATTTAAAAGGACGCTTTGCACCAAACCCACCACTAAATACAACCGTAATTGGGGGTGGTGAACAAATCGTACTAAATTGCACGAATGTGATCGTACAAATCCAAACCAACAGCCACTATATCAAAAAGTTACGAATTGCCGAGACAGCATTGATCTTAACATACTAGGTCTAATACCAACTAAAGCCTAAAGAGCTGCGTTTAATTTTCACCATTCGGATCATTCCGCAGTGGCGACCCCTGATGGAGAAGGGTTAGGTCAAAGAAAGAATGAGTGATTTCCAATCATGACTCCTGTAAACTTTATTCAGTCCTACATCCAAGTAGGTTTAGGCTACTGTTCGATTTGTGAATATTCTGGTTTTATTATTAGCCTACTTTTTTCTGTCTTAAAGTAATTGATACTGAAACTTTCATTAGTTTTACAGCCTTGGCCTACTCATTGTATTGCTTATTTACCTCTGACAGAGGTTTTTGTTTGGACTCATTGGTCATTGCATGTTTAAAACAATTATATAACCTGATCTAGTTTTGACTATGTGGAATGTTATATCCATGCTTTTTATATTTGACCAGTGTAAAACGTTTTAATATTTATATAAGCAGCTCAAAACAAGTTTTGGATATTAGTCTCAAATTTGGTCAAAACTTTAAACCTTTGGCTTATATTTCATATAATTTCAAGGGTGAGCCTATTTTAAAAGAAATTTAGGTTTTGTAGACAGGAAACTTCAAAATGTCTTAAAACAAAACCAGAATGAGAATTATATAAATTTCGGCCAGAATAAACGACCATACTTATTTTACTAGATCGTATTTGGGTGAATTAATGAATAATAAGATTTTTGTATCATTCTTTTTATTTCAGACTCATAAGTCCAGTACCTAACAAAGTACCCCAAATAAATCAACAACATAATCATGAGTGTACAAAAGCTACTTCATTACTATTTAAAACACACACAACATTTAATCCAATAATTCCAGTGTCAGAAGCGGTAGCTTGTATAATGTGGCATCACCTAAAACAATTATAACTAAATTAGGACCTACTTAGTCCACACAAAACATTAAACACAGATTTCCTTAACAGTAAAGAGCTTTGTTATTAGCCTTACTTCTGTCCTGCACGCATCTCGGGGGCTTAATTAAATTTCGCAGGGCATCATTAAATGCCGCCTGGAGCTTTTTCATTTTAGATTTACTGTTGCTTTTATATTTATACTTCAATCGCGCAATATATACAGTGAAGTAGGCTACAGTAAGTTTTAAAACAGCTCTTTTAAAATAATATCTGCACATACTAAAATATGTGTATTTTAAAATTGTGACCTATGCCTATTTTTCTTTATATCAATTTCATAATATATATTTTTTTCAGATATTTGATTTACATTTATCTTTTTTTATCCAACATTTTTTTTTCTCTTGCAAAATGAAAGGCTTTACAATTCGTTTTTTATTCTTTCCAACAGAAAATTGTAAAAAGTCAGAATTGCAAGATCAAGAGACAAAAGTTTAAATTGCGAGGAAACTTAATTTGTAACATGATTGTCTATGTCGAATTTTCTTTCTTTTTTTTTTAAAGAATTATAATCTTTATAATTTTGCAGCTGCGAGTTTAATCTCGTTGCAATGTGTAATTATCTAAATTGCGAGAAACTGCCAGTAACTTAAAATATGCCTGGTGCAGTTTTGTGATATCAGAAATTGTGACATCATCATACGCCTATATTGTTATTATTACTAACTTATTATTTTACTATTCTTAAACTTTCGTCGATTTTTTAGAGCAATGTATAGCCTAATTTAGCAAAGTTGGCAAGAGTGTGTTTGACATTCAAGTAGTCTACAAAGAGATAGCCTAACAACAAAGATACGCCCAAAATTCACCTTTGAAGGACGGCCTCAAGTTTCCCGGTAACAGTACCCCCCTGGATAACCCCGTGAGTTATCGCTTTGAGACACCGCGGGCAAATGCCTAAGGTGGCTTGGCGTGTGATGATGATAGGAACGGACTAATAAAGCACACCGGGCTCGCTGTCTGCCTCCGCATTGGCTGCATTCTCATGTGTTGCTGCTGGCACTGTATAAATAATTAAAGCGTCGATGTCTTAACTCTGCCATTCTCGTGCGCAAACCCGGAGTGTCAGAGCAAGAACAACCGCTTGCCCCGCAGAGGGAGAGGGGGGCGCACCATCTTCCAAGAGACAGTCTATGGTTGCATGGTCTCCATCCTCATTCTGTCAGATCTTCTTTGCTCTGAAATAAAAACATGAATTCTCTCTCTCTCTCTCGCTCTCTCTCTCTCTCTCTCTCTCTCTCACACACACACACACACACACATTTGCATTCAGAAATTGCTTTATGAAAAAAACATAAGCGCAGTAAATAATAAATCAGAATGAACAATAAGCTACACAAAACAATCAACATGTTAAAACAAATTGTAAATCAATATACTCTGTTTCAGACAGATACGCATGTCTCTTACAACCTCGCTGTCAAGAATTTAGGCTGTAGTCATTGCCTGCTTTGAACTTTAAACCCTTTTAAATCTATTGATTCTTGTTTTTCCCTTTAAACGGAGGATATGTGAAACTTATTAATATAACTCATTTTTTGTTTTGTTATTTTCTTCATGGGAGAATGCTTATTTTGGACACATTATCAAACACCCTGATGCGCTTGCAACATGGTCTAAAACAAAATGCTCTCTTGCGACGTAAAATATTAAAGAAAATATGCAAAAATTTAAATGTAAATACTTTTACAGTCCAGTAACATTTCAGTCCAAACATATTCCACCAATTTTGAACATGCACAGGTATTTTCTTTGTATGTGCGAGACCCTGTATGTGCAATAACCTGTTGTAAATTGTAAAACCTTATATGTAGTTTATGTGCGCCACGAGTTTATGCGTACGAATTTATACGAATTAGGCACTGAATCAAAAAGTTACGAATTGCCGTGAGATTGTGTTGTTTATGCCTACGTTTATGCCAGGTAACAGCCTATATTAAAATAGGATGATAAATGCAAATTGCAATTGGTTGGTTTTTGTACTACTTATAGAATTTTTGACTGGGGAAAAGTTGATGTTCCTAAAGCAAGAGTCAAACATTACCATTCAATGTGCCATATGATGTTCTTTATGACACATGAGTTGCTGGAGGCCTCTTTCGAAAGATCATCAATAATTCAGTCCTCATCACTAGCCACATGCCCCAGCTCAACTTATGCTGGTTCACAGCGTTGTTTGTAATGCAAATAATAATAATCATAATGATTTAATGATAATTATATTGCTTTAAATGTATGTATCATCGATGTAATAAAAATAATCTTATCCATTGCCCACCTCCTCCATAATCCTAATATAACCGATGAATTATGATCAATCTTAGGGAATGTTAGGCTATATTTTAGGGGGGAAAATCGTATAATGCATTTTAAAATGTAACCCAGGCCTATATGTCTTTATATCAAATTTATAAAATATATAAGAAACACTTTTAAAATGTTGTGTAATAATTAAAATTAAAAACTTTTTTTCCAAAACAATATCATACATGCTAAAAGGGATTTGTGGCAGTCAATCTTTGAAATTACCAAGTTAAGGTAATAATAACACACATCACCTACCCAAAACTTGCGTATTAAAATAACGTAAAAAATTGGGGAAAACGAGCATATTAATAATAATAATCTAACGCTCTCGGTATTTCTATGGAATAATTGAAACGCCTGTAACAGCATACGGCACACGGCTGCAACAATATAACTATTACTTCTTACAACCTGACAGTGAACAACTCAGATAATCATTCATCGTCCTACCTGAACAGCGTCTCTTCTCTTCCCTTGAGCCTGTAAGAAGCGTTTCCTGACTAACAACTCTCCCTTCAGCTCTCTGCCTGTTTTATACCAATATACAATTAATATTGCATCGTCATTACTTAATAATTTCAAATCCCTCTGCACAAAGCCGTGAAAGACATTTATTATTCAGCGACGTCTGCTTAAACATGTTGCCAACCCAAATTAAAAAAGGAGGGAAAATACTTGAAATTGTCTTATTTTTTAATCCTTTCTCGCTCTCTTTTTCTAAATGACGTAATTAGGTGGTGATTAGTCTGTATAACTCATTAATGTTTAATCATATTTGAGCTGAAGTATCTAATAAATAAAACAGCGCAATTATTAAAAATTAATGATACTACAATGATTTTGACGCGAAAGACTCTGGATATAATTTTATACAATGTAAAAAAGAATACAAGTGGATGCACACACACACACACACACAATCAGACATTGTTTGTGAAGTCAGAATTATTAGAATTATTATTATCAGAATTCAGAATCATTATCAGAATATTATTATTATCAGAATTATTATTAGTCAGAATTAATTATTTTCTTTTTTTAATTATTTCACAAGTTATTTTTAACAGAGGGACATTTTCAGTGTCTGATAGTATTTTCTTCTGGAGAAAGTCTTATTTGTTTTATTTCGGCTGCAATAAAAAGTTTTAAATCATATATTTTTTTAAACATTTTAAAGTCAAAATTATTAGCCCCTTTAAGCTACATTTTTTTAAAAACAAACCATCCTTTTACAATAACTTGCCTAATTACTCTAACCTGCCTAGTTAACCTTAATTAACCAAGTTAAGCCTTTAAATGTCACATTAAGCTGTATAAAGTGTCTTGAAAAATATATGGTAAAATGTTACTCTCATCATGACAAAAATAAAATAAATCAATTATTAGAAATGAGTTATTAAAACTATTATGTTTATAAATAAATCTTCTCTCCTTTAAACAGAAATTAGGGGACAAAATAAAAGGGGGGTGTAACAATTCTGACTTCAATATATATATATATATATATATATATATATATATATATATATATATATATATATATATATATATATATGTATGTAGAGAGAGAGAGAGAGAGAGAGAGTTTTTTCTCATATATAAAATTTCTTTTTGTTTTTACACAAGTGATTAAATAAAACTCCCATGGCTTTGAAAAAAGTTAACAGTTTATTAACATTAAATGTCACACATCTTGTAAAGTGAATTTTAAACGTGAGAGTGATTGCAGTGGCTACATTATGCAAATCAAATAGCAGCATTCTTTATTACACCATCAGTTAGATGATCGTTCACGAGAAAAAAATCGTGACAGTTAGTGAGAACATGTGATTTTCACCATATGTGCAATCTGACAAAACATTCAAGCGAATATTACAAATTTCAAAGCACATTTCAAGTGATAATATTAACAATAAAGTAGACTTTGTGCGCAAAAATGTATAGGAATATAAATAAGTCTTTAAATACCAAAACACACGTACACACTTCAAAATATAATTTCGCGTGTGATAATACTGAAACAAAGTTTTAGTAGCTGTTCAGTTGATCCTGGAAAATGCAATGCAGATTTAATTATTAAAATATCAAGAATTCAACAGTATTGCTTTGTAAAGTAGTGATAAATTAAATATAGATTTTTTATTTTAATAAAATAAACAATAATAATTTACATAACAATGTCCATGTTACACTGTTAGTGTAGGCTAATTAAAAAAACACATCAATGTGTAATCCCAATCAATCCCATACATTAACATTAAATGCTACACATTTTTCCATGAGTCTTGCTCACATAAATAAAAAGTAACATGAACACTGCGTGTAAATATGATCGACATACTTTCAAGTTTGAAATTGTACATCACAGTGTGCGAATTATTCAACAGAGCAGAGTCAAATTTCTCAAGGCCTTTCGAGATAAATAGTTTAACACTTATCTCGAGCCAATAATAATGAATTAATAAATGAATAATGGCCCTTTGCCGCACTGCTAAGGTAAACTATATTTAAAACTAAACCGAGACTAATTTGTCAATGTTTTATGCAAATTTGCTGAAGAAAACGCTCAAGCAACTACTGTTACTTTGATTACCAAAGTCATACAGGACTTAATGAACTTTTGTGATTGCTAAATCGTTTGAAAGGCTGTTGAACTTTGCATGTACCCACATGTTAAAAATACTCAGACTACATGCCTCATATAACACACAGATTTGGTATGACAGATATGTTATGACATTTTAAAGAGGGGCATCAATGCTTTATAAAGGTTACAGACGTCCTGGAATAATTCGCACAGTTTCCACCAGTCTGAGGCGATGTGAAAAATATTATAGGCTTATAATTATGAGGGGGGGGAAAGATTTAGATCCCTGTGGTGTTCCTAAAATGTCTACTTTGCTCTAACAGTATTAGTGCACTGCTGAATACTTCATCCTTTTCTGTTTTTGCCGTTGATTACAGAACCAAACCCGAACCACGTTCTTCTTTAGATCCAACTTCTCCGCGATAGCCGCGATTTTTTCCGACGACGGTCGCGGCTGGATTGCAAAATATGCCTCGAGCGATCGCTTCTCCGGAGCTGCGATGGACGTACGCTTTCGTTTCCTCTCGTTCCCATTGAAAAGGTCCGGTTTCCCGTTTTTCTCCCGGTAAGCAGCTTCAGCTTCCTCCAGCCAAGCTTGGAGGACGGGTTTGAGGGCGATCATGTTGTTGTGTGAAAGTGTTAAGGACTCGAACCTGCAGATGGTGCTTTGGCTCAGCGAGCCGACCCCCGGTATCTTCAGGTTGGCGAGAGCAGAGCCCACATCCGCCTGGGTCACTCCTAACTTTATCCTCCGCTGCTTGAACCTCTCCGCGAACGCCTCCAGCTCTCTTGGATCGGACTCGACGTCGTTGACGCACGCCATGCCGTTGTGGACCGACAGGGTGTGCGGGTGGCCCATCGCCATTGCTTGGTGTAAGTGACCCATTTGCAGGTGATGCTGGTGGGCTTGTGTGGTCATCACCGATGGATCCGGCGGCGCCCCCATGCCGCTGACCGATAAACTCGAGGAAATGTGGTCGAGTAGGTCCCCCTCCAGGGTCTGGTGGCTGAGGTGGTGGTGATGATGCGACGGGAGGTTGGATGATGGGTGAGATATGGGCACTGTGGACGAAGAGGAGGTGCAGGGCACGCTGCTCATGGTATGGTAGGTGACGTCCGTCTTGAAAGGGTGACTCTTGCCGTGAGACACGATGTCAGCCGCCGCCAGAGCTTCAGCGCGGGCCAGCAGACTCTCATCAAAGCCGCTGAATATATTGCCCTGGAGCTGCAGGCAAGAGCGCGCATATGGAAGTCAGTGGGGAATTGTGTCAACTCTGGATTAAAGAACATTCCCAAGCACCCTCCTCAAAGCACAGGTCATAAAAATTAATATGAAAGCAGCAGCTTTGCTTGGATAGGCATGTGGGTAGGAGAGAGAGAGTCAAGAGTAAAGAAAGGAGAAGTTGGGAGGGAGGGATGAATGGATGCTGGAGCAACTCAAAACACTTCAAAGTGACAGAATGGTAACAATACGAGGAGTTTAGCGTGAGACGTACCTGCGGGGCAGGTAGGCACACCCGCCGCATGCCCTCGGAGCTCGGGTGCAGCGCAGGGTGCATGGAGAAGTGCTGCTTGCCGTTCATGGTCATCATCTTCGTTGCGCACCTTGCAGGTGAGTGGACCTGACATGGAGGAAACGCGGCGCTCTGGCTCGACGCTCCTCGTGTGTGTTCAGTTTCCATTGGCAGCGCCTCACGGGTTCTCCCCCCACCCCAAACTCACACTGCCCTCCCGCCTCCATCTACTCGGGATACAAGTGGCAAACTGGTCTGACACTCACGCGTGGGATTTCGTAGGTTATTTAACCCAGTATTTCAACGAAGTGATTTAAAAAAATAAAAATAAATATTGACATATTTAGCATAATAATAAAACTAATGATTTTATTGACGTTGATTAAATAAATAAATTGATATTAATTAATTAATTAAAAAATGTAATAATTTATATTTTTATTTTAACATATTAAAATGCAGATCAGTTTTTAATCTGATAATAGCAATGCAAAATTTATTAAATGTCTTTGTTTTCAAATGCCAAAATAGGAAATCGGATGGTAAACTGTAGACAGAAGTGTAATTCTGTAAATAATTTTTCGGTTTTACTTTATGAATTACAGTACAATAATTATTTACAGTAGGCTGCTTATAACAATTAAAAATACCCTTATGTATCTCCAGAATTATACATGTCCACTTTAATGCACAAGCATGGCTATACTATATATGTTTTTTTTATGACAATTCTTTGTTTTTATGTAAATAAACTATCATGTGTAGAATATTGTGTTCATTATTAAAATAACACAAATATATAGCAGGCTACCACATTTTGATTTGTATTTGTATTTAAATCCATTTGAACTTGCAATGAAAGTTGAAGCTCACAGTCTACTCCACGAACTTTCACCTTGGCTGACCCCTAATCTTCATTGGCTGTTGAATGTGACAGAGCTGCTCTCACCTGCCCTGGTCACAGCTATAGGGCATTAAAAATGAACACAATTATGCTTTTATATTAATTTAATATAGATCGATCAAATATATTTGTCAAGTTCTTAGCCTTTGGCTGATGCAAGTCAATCGAATGAAATATAAAATATAAGCTTTAAACAGCATGTCATATAAAAAAAAAACTTTAAATGAACACCCCACCAAAGTGGTTTGGTAAATGACATTGCAAACATGTTTCTGGTAGTTGGAAGTAAACACCTGTTATACCTCCATGGTGACCGTGATGGTGGCTGTAGAAAGAGAAGCCAGGCAGTGCAGTGACACAGATGCACCATCCGATCCCATCCACCTCTCCTGTTCCCCCAGACGCTCAATTATTCATCTGCTATGTGGCGGGCATCCATTACCTCTCTGGCATTTTCTCATTCATTACGCAGATTAACAGCGCGTACCTTTTTTTTTAAGTCTTGGCAAAATTCTGAACAGTCTTGTTGTGCCAACTGTGTCATGATATTCACTAATCTAGCGTATGAAACCTTTTATGATAAAGTCATGTCCCTATCCATCTCAAGATAAAGTTTCAGCTCATGAATATTTAACAAGCATAACCTAAAAATGCCCCATTCATATCTCATCGGTTCATCTTAATTTACATTTTCCGTAGTGTGTGCGAGATCTTTAGATGCGCTTCAGAAGTCGAATGGTTTCATCATTAATCTGCCATTTTAACTGTTGCCGAAAGTTACTTGAAGATTCTAAATTTCATTTAACCTTGTTGCAGGGAACTTGAGGTTTGTCATTTCTTTCTTTCTTTTTCTTTTTTTCCTTTTTTTATGATAGTGGAAGTAATGTCCATGTATACGTGAAGTCAGTTAAAATAAATTGCATGTAATGATATTTTTTTATAAATTAGCATAGGTCTCTGTCTCTTCACGCCCTTAGAAAATTAGCATAACAAAAGGTAAATTTTGGTGCATTTAAACAAAACGGGTGTTTATTTAACATATATATCCATTAAAATAAGTGTTGGTTCACACACCATCTTTAGGAATAGAAAGAAAATACGAGCTATTTCAACAACAATAAAATTACACACAACGACATTTCAATTAAATGCTATATGATTTATGTTTCTCTTGATTTTTCCTGTCAAACATTAATTTGGGTGTACTAATATATATATATAATGAAGTCAGAATTAATAGCCCTCCTGAATTATTAGCCCCCCTTGTTTATTGTTCCCCCAATTTCTGTTTAACAGAGAGAGTATTTTTTCAACACATTTTTAAACATATTTTGATAACGCATCTCTAATAACTGCTTTATTTTATATTTGCCATGATGACAGAAAATTGTATTTGACTAGATATTTTCCAAGACAGTTTTATACAGTTTAAAGTGATGTTTAAAGGCTTCACTAGGTTAATTAGGGTAACTAGGCAGAATATGGTAGTATTGGCTAATAAGGCAAGTTATTGTATAACAATGGTTTGTTCTGTAGACTAAAGATGTAGCCTAAATAAGCTAATAATTTTGAGCTAAATAGTTTAAAAAAAATAGAAACTGCTTTTATTCTAGCTGAAATTAAAAAAAAGACTTTCTTCAGAAGAAAAAATATTATCAGATATAATGTGAAAATTTCCTTGCTCTGTTAAACATCATATGGGAAAAATAAATAACGAAAAAAAATTAAATGGGGTTTAATAATTCTGATTTTAACTGTATTTATATGCTAAATTAATCAAATGTTTATTGTAAAAGTAAATAATTATTTTTGCATCATAAAGTTATATTTAAATTACTTTTTTAATTACAGTCTGGGAGATGACCAGCTAAAACCAGCTTGACCAGCCTAGCCAAGCTGGGAGTCCAGCCGAAACTGGCTATATCCAGCTTAAACCAGGCTGGTCAAGCTGGTTTTAGGTGGATTTGGCTGGTCATTTTCCAGCCTGACCAACTAAGACCAGGCTGGAAATGGCTGGAAACCAGCCTGAAATGGCCAAAACCCCTCTAAAACCTGGCTGGTCGACCAGCTAAAACCAGCCAACCAGCCTAGGCTGGTTTAAGCTGGATTTTTCAGCTGGGATGCTACTTTTGCTAATGCTAATGCTAATTTTTTACCTGTAAGTGGCTGTAAACTATTTAAATTTGGGCTGAATTTAAACAAATCAAGCTGAACGTACTAAGGATTCGTTTTAAAAAGGAATGTCCAAGCCATGCTCGTATACAGCAACAAACCAATTATGGTGACGGTGTTCTTGACAGCCAAACCACCTGACTGATGCTTCAGCATTAGGTCTCACATTGCATGCATGGAAAGATCAACCTCACGGTGACTTCACAAGTCTCTCAGACTGATAGCCTCGCATCTGCCCACATCATCTCGAAGCCTCCCATTGTCATCTAGAAAACAGATTCATTATTTAAGGTTTGCGATGGTATTTACGGGCTTGTCATCATCCGGCAGCAACGTGGCACTGATTTCAGATGACATGTTTTATTGATTTGGTTTTGGTGAGATGTGACAGGAGTTTGCTCTTCTGTAGGCATTATAGTCTGTGTTCCGCGGTACGGTCATGCAGTCGTCGTCGGTGTGTTTGCTCCATCTATTTCCATTCGTATCCAGGCTCCATAAGCGAGCTCTGAGTGCTTGTCGCTCCAGCAGCAGGGGATGAGAGAATGACGAGCGGGGTAAAACTGCTGGCTGACGTGCGTCCCACGGGGCAATCAACACTGCTTGCATTAAATCAAATAGACTCTGAGTGTTTTTCACTTGGCTTCCCAGAGTAAGAGAAGGCAGTGCATTATTCATGTATATTTGAATATGTCAAAGCCACTGAAGCCAAATTAACTTGAACACCCTGCTGAAAGTTTGGGTAAGATGGGTGGGATATGGGGCAATGTACTTTATTTTATTTATTCATTTATTTGGCTTGTAATTTGACGAGCTGGAATGTATAGCTTTGATTTAAAATACACTTATGATGCTGCCGCCACCATGCTTCACTGTAGGGATGGTATTAGCCTGGTGATGAGCGGTGCCTGGTTTTCTTCGAACGCAACCCCTGGCATTCACTCCAAAGAGTTCCATTTTAGTCTCATCTGACCACAGAATTTAGTTTCTTATAGGCTGAGAGTCCTTCAGATGCCTTTTGGCAAACTCCAGACGGGGAGTGGCTTCCGTCTGACCACTCTACCATACGGGCCTGATTGGTGGATTGCTGCACAGTTGGTTGTTCTTCTGTAAGGTTCTCCTCTCTCCAAAGAAGAACGCTGGAGCTCAGACAGAGTGATCATTGGGTTATTGATCACCTCCCTGACTAAGGCCCTTCTCCCTGATCACTCAGCTTAGATGGCCGGCCAGCTCCAGGAAGAGTCCTGGTGGTTCCAAACATCTTCCACTTACAGATGATGGAGGCCACTGTGCTCATTGGAACTTTGAGAGCAGCAGAACTGTTTATGTAACCTTCCCCAGCCTTGTTCCTCGAGACAATCCTGTCTTGGAGGTCTACAGACAATTCCTTTGTCTTCATGCTTGGTTTGTGCTTTGACATCCACTGTCAACCCTGACGTCATTGACTTTCACTTTAAGATTTAAAGGGCTAGCATTGCACCAGACCCCCTTACGAGGTTTCGTTTGAAAGTGTAGAATCTATATTTTATGCACATATGCATCACTTTGGTTTTTATTCTACTGTACAAGTTATTTGCACTTAAATACACAGTATTTTGGATACCTGAGCTAGGTATTTTACATTGGTTCATTTTCATATTTTTCATACGACACATATGACATATGCAGTGGGTAGCACGTTTGCCTCACAGCAAGACGGTCGCTGGGTTGCTGGTTCGAACCTCGGCTCAGTTGGCGTTTCTGTGTGGAGTTTGCATGTTCTCCCTGCATTCGCGTGGGTTTCCTCTGGGTGCTCCGGTTTCCCCCACAGTCCAAAGTCATGCGGTACAGGTGAATTGGGTAGGCTAAATTGTCCGTAGTGTGTGTGTGTGTGTGTGAATGACTGTGTGTGGATGTTTCCCAGAGATGAGTTGCGGCTGGAAGGGCATCCACTGCGTAAAAACTTGCTGGATAAGTTGGCGGTTCATTCCGCTGTGGCGACCCCGGATTAATAAAGGGACTAAGC